TAGTGATACGAGGCACAAGTATGCCAGCCACAGTGTATTTATGCCCAATCAAAACCATAACGTTCATTGATTGGACAAAATAATCAAGGTAGTAGAGCTTGCATTATTATGGCCTGGTCGCTATAAGGGCCTTTTCCAACCACAACACAACATTCGGCCGAATACGGATAACCGGTATCTCCGGATAAGGACAAATCTAGCCAATCAACGTGAAGGGGGGAAAATCCGTGGACGGTTTCGCCTCGCGATGCATGAAAATACTTCCTCCGATGCATGAAAATACTTCCTCCGTTCAGGAATACCTGTGTGAAGTTGCTTCGAAAACCATATTTCAGTCAAAAAATCTCGAAAACACTTGCAAATACGCCCAATCGATAGCCAATGAAATTCTCTTCAGCGAAGTATTTTTAGTTTTTTTATATTCCCTCTACCCATCAAGATGTGGGTTCTGGAACTTTCGACGCGGACAGCGAAAAACTAAAAACATACGTAACTTAGTCACTATTTTCTAGCGATGTGATTGGCCCAATGAAACGTAGTGCAAATATTTCATGTCACCTTTTTGCGGTTAATTTCGAAAAATATCTGGTAGATTTCGTGGAATTCCATTTGTCAATTTCGTGGAAATTCATTATATTTCGCGACCTCGGTATTTAGTTTCGTGGGAACGTCGAATTCACTCATTAAATCTTTAAACCAGCAGCTGACTAACTTCCAATATTTCTGATATCAATACAATTGGACTGTAGTGCTTCCGAAGTAGTTTTTTAATTCGTCAATAAATGTCAAAATATGCATGCACTTTGCTACTAATTAGATATATCTATTTCAATCAAGAACTCAGCAACTTCGAAAGAAACTAGGTTACTGATCAAAAATGCAGTAGCCGATCATTTAAATCCTATGGAACCAAATCAAATCGATGAGCAAACACGTTTTATTAATAGTATTCATCCATCATCTAATAGTTGCTGTTCGAACGATTGTTCGATCGATTCATCGATGGCGACAGATAGCGTGTAGCGCGGTTGCTGTCAATGGACAATCGCACTTGGCGATTCAAACGATAGCGGCGTTGAGCTTCACTGCGCTTGCGCTTCTTCTCATTCGCCATCTGCTCGTAACGATCAATTACAGACCTGTAAAACCCTTCGTCCTCCGCGTGCAATGGCATCAACGAGAGGTGGAAGTTCGTCAATACGAACGTCGTGCGCTGGATCATGTTGTAGTTTTTCTCGTCCCAAGTGTACGTAGCCAAGGAAATCTTCCAGAGAGTGCGCACGCGACCGCAAAAATTCTCCACAACCACCCGATCGGAGGAGATGTCGTGGTTTCGATCCATGTCAGCTTCGTATATGTCACCATGAAATCAACTTGCACACGTTTTGGGTACGAACAGGATAGATTCACCTCCGAAAACGATGTGAGACGGCTGAAGAAAGTTGTGGACTTGGTAACTGTCAGTACAATGTACGAAGAATCAGGTAGTAGGAAAATTCCGAATAGTATGAGTGGGTGAAATTGTGATATTACATCACGTCGGAGATTGAGTAATTCGTCAGTTAGTCGATCTCTAATCATGTGGTGAGTTTTATTGGAAGTCGCATGGGTTATTTCCAATTTACTTGATCTGCTGCTCATTAACCCATCTACTGATCGTAAGGTTTATTATTTTTCGTGGACTGCCAGTATAATTCGTAATTTGCTCAGTTAGATTGGCAACATCCAATATATTTCGTGACGAGGCCAGATATTTCGAATGTTCACTTCAACTCGCTCTGATTGGTCAGAAAGCAGTGCGTGTAACCGTCTTTCGCGAACTTTTCAAGCCTTCGCGATGCAGCACATCCACGTAATCCCGACCTTCCCCTCATCCTCCCCGATGAACCTCCATCACCTCGAACCCAGAAAGCCCACACATACTGACCTAGTAACGTCTTCACACGGAGTTTCGTTGCTGACCACAGGTTCTCTATTGGATTCACCATGGATGAGTATGGACTACAGATACGCCCTGATGCCAGCAAAGCGACTACCTGTATTGCTTTGGAGACGTCGGGAGGTTTCTGTACTTGCCTAGTAGTCTTGGCTGACACGACCGATGGAGTTGCCCCAGACACCACGTAGTATATGAATGGAGTTGACTATCGAAGGAGTTGATGTGAACCGTTAGTATCGAACGCTCTCCATCTCGACCACAGAGCCGAAAACATACACATCGAAATGGTTGGAGCCTAGAGTCGTCACTCCTGCATATATATACC